TGTCTCCTGGTTGTTTGGGTCAGTATCATCTTTTCAGGCCAGGTGCCTGCACACCTGCCAGGCGCTGCAGACCCCTGGAAGTGGCTACTCTTCTGAGTGTACACGAGGGTGGAGAAATGTGTTACCCTAGTGGGAGGGGAAGTCTAATCCTCCCTTTATTTGTTTAGTTCTCAAAAAACTTGAACAACAGGTTTAACTTAGATCTATGCCATTTTAATGCAAATTTTAGACAGGTATAGTTATGGCACTCCTTTTTGTTTTATATGCCAGATAGCAAAAAATCTGTTGTGAGTGAGAATGCCTGTGGTGTGACTTAGTGTCTGTGAGCTCCCGAGGCTCTGAGCTCGCCCGTGGGGCTGTCGCTGCCGAGAGGACGTTCTTGCCCTCTTCTCTTGTACCCTCCTCACAGTAAGTCAGCGGAACCGCCCAGCACACTCCACGTGTGATTCTTTAGTGCAGCAGTTTCCAAACTTGCCTGATTTTCAAGACTCATTGGAAGGCACTTGTTGGACATACAGACTCAGTGAATCAGAGTCTTCATGGGAGGGGCCTGGGAATTTGTAGTTTCACAAGTTCCTCAAGTAATTCTTAAAAATTGGGCAAGTTTAGAAAACGTTGCTTTAGTGCAGCATAAACTGCTTAACTACAGGTGGTGAGAATGATAAGGGCACAGACTGTAGGTGGGCAATGAGAGAAATGTGAAATAACAAATGTAGTTACATGGCATAGCTGCATTCCTCTGTCTGGGCTTGCTCTCTGGCCAAGGGATGCATCGAAATCTGTTGGAGTTCCCTTGGCTTGTAGTGCCTACTGATTTGGGTGCTATTCTTCTCTTTCGGTGGGCCCCGTGTTGCCTTCCTGGCTACCTTTGAGGTCTAGCTGTCAAGTTTCAGGAAACTTTTGGTTCACTGAATTTCTCTCCCTGGGCCTTTCAGCTCCTGCTGACGTGAAGATCTCTTTTTCTCCCGTTTTCAGTTTTCGACCCAAGTACTCATATCTCTTTGATTTATTGTTTTCTCATGGCCCCCATCTTATTAATTCATGCAGTCACTCATTCAGTTGTCTGTTGTGCCAGTCTGTGGGCGAGCTACAGAGATGTACAAGATACAGCCCCTGCCCTCAAGTGCACAGTCTGGTAGGGACAGAGATGTGTGAACAAGTAATTAAAATAGCAGTGATGTGCTAAGCGGCATCATAGAAGTGTGTGCAGAGCTGTAGGGGCACAGGGAGGAAGTGACTGACAAGTGGTGGCAGGCGTCACAGAGGAGGTAACTTTTTGAGCAGGGTCTGGTGGTCAGAGCAAAGTGGGAGGGCGTTTCTAAGTTGTTGTGTGGCTCATCACCACAGGCGTCACGTCCTCGTGCCGTTCGTCTCCTAAGTCTCTTTAGCGTCTTTGCTCGTTTAGGATCTGATGGAGTTAATTGGCCTGGCCGACGAATTAGACTCTCTTGACTGACTTTGTTCAAAACCTGAGATGGTCAGTAGTTGATTAATGTCTGAGATACCAAGACTAAGTTTGTCCCACGATCATTTATTGGTAGTGAATGATTGAGACTCTAAGCACTAAAGAAGGCTTTTAAAGACCTTTCACTTTATCAGATGTGTTCTGAGCCTGCGGAAGTGATCTTTGTGCCCTCTGGGGAGTGGTGCGTGTGTGTGCGTGTGTGTGTGTGTGTGTTGGTGGTAGGGGAGCTTGTGAGCAGAAAATGAGACAGGAGAATGACTTTTGCAATAAAAGACTCATTTCCCGTGTAGGCTCGCACATCTCTGGTAGCTGTGTGTATTGTTAGAGATGACCTAAACTCTGCAGTTTGCTAATTTGACAAGCTTTGGTTTCTGTTTCCAAAAAATGCACTGTGATTTTCTCTTATTTCACTAGAGAAATAGAGATGAAGGGCCATTATGATTAAATTCGTATAGTTTAATAAGTAGTCATGATTGCAGTTTTAAAATATCTATTGTTTCTTGGAATAATGGATGTTCATTGTAGAAAAATTAAAAAATACAGGCAAGTGAAAAGGGAAAAAAAGCTACAACTAATCTATAATTTTGCAAGCCATAGCTAACCAGTTACTGTTTCAGTGTGTAAAAATCCAGACTTTTTCTGTGCATACATATGTGTGTGAAAGTATTGTTATTCCAGAAGTTGAATATGCAGTGTAAACTGTTTAGTATCTTACCTTTTTTCTTGTTATATACTGTGACCATCTTATTGTGTTAAGAAATATTAGCCCTGAGCTAACGTCTGTTGCCAATCCTTCTCTTTTTTTGCTTGAGGAAGACTATCCCTGAGCTAACATCTGTGCCAGTCTTCCTGTACTCTATATGTGGGTCGCTGCCACAGCATGGCTGATGAGCAGTATAGGTCCATGCCTGGCATCTGAACCTCTGAACCCAGTCCGCCAAAGCGGAGCACGCTGAACCTAACCACTACACCATGGAGCTGGCCCCCAGAACGATTCATTCTTAATGAAAAAAATCTTTATTTTTGAGATTATGCAAATCATTCAGGCTTGTTTTTTTACATCAAACTCTGTTAATGTATATGAAACAAGTGAAAATTCCCCCATAATCCTGTTCCCCCTAGGATAAATGTTAATTTAGCATATACACAACCTTCCACACTATTTCCCATATATATACAAACATATCTATTACTATTTTTTACAAAATTAGATCCTCTTATACCTACTGTTCTGCAACTTGCCTTTTACCTTTAATATATCTTAGACATCTTCCTGTGCCAGTATGTTTGGAATACCTGCATGTTATTATGTAGATCAGGGTTTCTCATCCTCAACACCATCGACATTTGGGTTGGATAGTTCTTTGTTGTGTGACTGTCCTCTGCATTGCAGGAGGCTAACAGCATCCCTGGCCTCTATCCCTTAGATGCCAGTGGTGCCCCTTCCTCCAGTTGTGACAAAAATGTCTCCAGACATTGTCACTGTCCCCTGGGGGCAAAATCACTCCTAGTTGAGAGCCACTGATAAAGATAGTCTATAATGTGAGCATCTAGAGTCCTTCTGGTTTTCTCGTTACAAATAAAGGGTCAGGGAATATTCTCATATTGATTTTTGTGCACCTGTGTGAATATTTTTACTGAATAAATTCCTAGAAGTGCAGTTGCTAGATCAAAACTTTGATAGAAATTGCCCAATTACTACAAAGAGATTGTATTAATTTATTTTTCAACTATATCCTGATGATTCCAAATCCATCTCTTTCCTGAGTTCTAGATCCATATATCCAACTGTTGATAGGACATATCCTCTTGTGTGTCTCATAGGCCTTTCCTAGGCTCAACTCACATCTTCTTTGACCCACCAAGCATGCACTTCTTGCTGTATTTTTCTGTCAAAGAATGTCACCACCATCTGCCTCATTGCTCGAGCCAGAAACCTTCTCTACCCTACATCCAACCGATCACCAAATCCTATCCGGTCTTCCTCGCTAATGGCTCTCTCCATCTGTTCACTTCTTTTCATTCCTTCTACCACTATCTTTAGTTTAAGCTACTGCTAACTTGCGCAGATCACTGTAGTAGCCCTGGGGTAACAATTAGTCTCTACCCTTGGTCACATTCTCTTCAGGGAGAGTGAACTTTTGTACACTACGATCTGTGAGTGTTGCTCCCCTGTTTAAGCCCTTCAGTGAGCCCTGTCTCCTCTCCACCATCTCCTCCATCAGGCAGATGCTGAGGACAAGAGCAACTGACAGGCATCACCTTGGCTTCAAATCTCTCTGTCCATCAAAATATGCTTTTTCCTTCAAATTGACTATATAATAAGTAAATGTTGTAAGTTTGAATATATAAATTACTTTTGTACCAGATTTTGACTTTTAAATAAAGATTTCTGTGAATTAAAAAAAAAAATCTTGGGCTGGCCCAGTGGTGCAGTGGTTAAGTGTGCACGTTCCGCTTCTTGGCAGCCCGGGGTTCGCCGGTTCGGATCCCAGGTGTGGACATGGCACCACTTGGCAAGCCATGCTGTGGTAGGCGTCCCACATGTAAAATAGAGGAAGATGGACACAGTTGTTACCTCAGGGCCAGTCTTCCTCAGCAAAAAGAGGAGAATTGGCAGATGTTAGCTCAGGGCTAGTCTTCCTCAAAAAAAAAAAAAATCTCTTTTGGAAAACAATACTCTTATCATGTCACCTCACCTCATATATTTATTCCCCTGGCTTTGAATTACTCATTCTCCCTTGAGTGTCCCCTTGTTCTCCTCCATTTCCTGTTCCGTTCAACTCTGCTCTCTAGCCATCCATTTGCTACCCTTTCTTTGGTACCTAGCATTTTGCTTGATGCTTCAACCACACGTTTTCTCCTCTATTAATCAGTTTATCCTTATTGCATTTATTGTATATGTACTTTTTGTGTGCTTCAGTTATACTTTCTTATTTAACCTTGTGAAAAAAACATACATGTATGTAAATAATACAAACCAGTGAACTGAGGGGAGAGGGTGTGGGAATTCCCACCCTAGGTTCCAGCATAGATACTGGGGTACAGAAGGGCCTTTGAAATATTGCATCCTAGTGCCTGAACCCTGACTTCTCCCCTTAACTAGACTTTTGATTTTATGTGGTTCTATACAGCAGTGTAATTGAACACCTCCCAAATCAATTGCATTCACTTGGTCAAACTGAAACTTTGGAGAGAAGATCGTCTGTGTGCCAGCCCTGCAGCATTCCATTTTGGTATATCTTAAATACCAAGGCAACAAGGGGTACCTCGGAGCTCAGGAATCGCTGACAGGGTATGCAGCATATTGCTATGCTAGACTGGTGTAGGGACAAGCCCTACAATTTTCCACAAGAAGTCAGCTCCAAGCCTGTGGGAAATCACACATAGCAAAATCCTTGGCAAAGAACTATACATTTTTTTCCTACTATCCATGTGGTAATTCTATAACACTCTGTAATTAATTTTATTTTTACAGTGAACAACCACAGAGTAAGAATAATGCATAACCTATTTCTCTTTCTTGCTATTTTAGGGGACATCACACAGAAGGGATATGAAAAGAAAAGGTCAAAACTCTTGTCTCCCTACATCCCGCAGACACAAGGTAGGCAATGAGACATGGTTTAAACCTTCTCAGTATTTTTACACCAAAGAATGCTATCGTATAGGAGATCTGTCTTTTCTTGGTTCCTGTTTTCTCCCTCCCTTCCTCACCAGGGGAGAGAAAAAAACGGAAGGAAAGAAAGGAGGAAATGAATCTTAACTGAGCATCTGCTGTGTGCTAGGCACTTTTAAAATACCCAAGGTCATCAAATCATTTACACAGACCTTGGGTGATACTGGCTCTGTGCATGGCTGACATGATTCAATGGCAGAAAATTCCAGGTCGTGGAAAAACTAGTCTTATTAATGCCTGAGCAGGAACTGTGTTGGAGTGGAGCAAGGGAGCAAAGATAAGAAGGAAGGACAGATTCAGAGTTGCAACGCAGCTCAAGGATTGGAGTCCCTGAGGATTTAGGGGTAAGAACCCTAAGTAAACTTTTAAATTAATTCACAGCCTGACATTCCTTCTTCAAAGAGACTGGTGTGTTTTTTCTATATCAGAAAGTCCTGAGTCACTTTTGTGCTTAATTCCAGAGGGGTTGCTGTAACCTTTGCCTCTAGACAAGGCTGTCTGTCTCTAAGTCGTCATATTTTTAAAGTTACTCAGAGTCCAGGATTTCCTTTGGTAGCCTATTTCTGCTTTAATCACTTTTACTATAAGGAATTTTTTCTTTATTTCTCATTTCCCCCCTGCAATCAGAGTTCATTTCCACAAGCCTGTTCTTTGTGGAACTAATTGCTTTTACTTCTGGATTATAAATACCTTGAAGACTTTGTATCCCCCATGGTTTTAATATCAAGTCTTGCACAGGGTATATAGTCTGTAAATATTTGTTGAATGAATAATGGAATAAATAAATGAATAATGGTGGTATATCACTATATTTCACTGAAGGCCTTGTTTTATTTCCTGCATTATTCTTAAAAGTTCCTTCATACAAAAACTAGTAGGTCAGTGCAGTGACAGCCAATTTAAAATAGCTTAATGAACAGATGGATGTAGAAATGAATTGAGAGAGAAGAGATACAAATTGGGCCAGTGACAGCTAATGAAAAGCCAGCTTTAGCTGAGCAAGGCATGCCAGAAAAGGGGAGTACTCTGATTGGCTGCTTAATTGTGGATCTGGCCCATGCCTCTAAAGGCCCAGATGTTTACTTTAGTCATTTTGTGCAAAAGCAATCAGATCCTGAGAAAATAACTCAGTAAGAGATGTAACTACAAAAAGGATCATGATCTGTTTGTTATCTGTAGTCAAGCTACATAGAAACCAAATCATGTTCAAAAACCAATTTATCAATTTACCATGAGAAACCAATAAGGCACAGTCAAGTCTGTGTGGTCAGCACATTCTTGCTCCGTGGGCAGGCCTACATGGGGAGCCAAGTCACAAATAGAGGGTTGCTTAGTGAGTATGGATTTGGCGAATCAGACATTTAGTTGCAGTAGGCCAAGAGAATGTGACATAGTTATCTCACAGTGGGGAAGGTCTTCTAGACGACCTCGAGGGGTCGTCTGATGGTAGCTCCTTCAGCTTCCTGCTACCAGACTTCAAACCTGCCACATCTACGCCCATCATGTTTACCTCCTTCCTTCTGGTTAAAAAGGTGACTTGTCCCTCTTATCCAAGGACAGTCCTTCCACCTGTGCTTTGGATCCGATCCCCTCCTCCCTTTCCAGAAATCTTACCTATCATCAGTCACATCAAGGACAGGGCAGTGGGAGTAGGCCACCCCCAGTCCAGGTAATGAGGGGTGCAGTGTCTGTAGAAAATTAAAAAAATAATAAAACCAACGAAAAGTTGGTCTTCTTTAGTTGTCACTGTGTGTAGCAGTTCTAGACACGGTAAGTAATAAAATGCTCCTCCTGCTGGTGCAGACAGCTACGTTGCCCCCAGGTCTGCCACTGCTGTCAGTTCCCTGTCGCTCTCATACAGTCACACTCTCCTTCTCAACCAGATTCTTCCCTCAGCTGTTCATCATGCTCATTACTGTTCTATTAAAAAAAGAGAAATCCTCCTTTGTCAGCCACTTCCATCTCTCCTTTCTCCATCTCCCCTTTATGGTCAGACTGCTCACAACTGTCTGTACTTACTATCTCTATTTTCTCATCTCCTGCTCACTTCTCAGCTCATTCTAGTCCCTTCTGGCGCTATCAGAAGTGATATCTCAGTAGTATTCACCAGTCTACGCCTTGAAATGCTTCTTTTGAAACACTCTTCTCATTTTCTTACTCCCCTGTTCATGTTACTCCTAGTCATTTTTGGAGGCTCATCTTCCTCTGTTAAATGTTGGAATTCTCAAGGCAAGGCCCAAGCCCTCTTGGTATCTCACTCTGTATCAGTGGTTCTCGGATTTTAGCCTGCATCAGAATCTCTGGAGGGCTTGTTAATAATCTACAGACTGCAGGACCCGGTCCTCAGGCTTTCTGATTCACTAGGTCCAGGCTGAGCCCAAGAATTTGATTTCTCTCAAATTCTCAGGTGATGCTGAAGTTGCTTTTCCTAGGACCACATTTTGAGAACCAACGCTCGATCTTTCTAGAGTATTTCGGCCGTACCTGTGGCTTTAATTGTCATTTAAATACAGGCAATTCCCAAATATGTATCTTAACCCAGATCTCTCCTGAGCTCGATCCATAGAGCCAACCGCATACTTAATGTCTCCAAAATATATCTTGAAGGAACCTCCATTTCAGCGTATCCAAACATGTCCGTTAAATTTAATACTTCAGCACACCACCCCTACCACCGGCACCAACCTCTGCCTGCACGTGCGCACACACACACCACCAAAAACTGACTGAAATGACGTCCAGCCTGTTCCTCTGCTTCTCTTCTGGTTTTCCCCTTCTGAGTAAATAGAATTCCCCTCCATGAGCCCAACAAGGCAGAGACGTAGAAGTCCTCCTCAGTGTCTCCTTCATTCCCTGTCTCTATCTCTTACCACGTCCTATCCGTTTTCTGTTTCTTCATGAGCCAGTTTTGCTAAGTTTAATTTTTTTAGGAAATTGTCTCTTTTGAGTAAGTTTTCAAAGTTATTGTTTTGTTATTCACAATATTCTCTTTGTTTTTTAAAGCTTTTGCTTTGTTTGTATTGTTTACTTATCTCTCTCCTGCTTTTTCTCTTGATGAGTCTTCCAGAGTTTGTCTTTTCAAAGAATGATCTTTTGATTTTATTGATCTTTTTTTTAGTATGTCTTTATTTTCCAATTTATCATTTTCAGCTCCTGCATATGTTTCCTTCTTTGTATTCATTTTGTTTACCATTTTTGACTTTTTAAAAATTTCCTGAGTTGGATGCTTCCATCGTCTGTCTTCTTTCCTAAGATAAGTGTTTCTTAATCTGACTGCAGTCCGAGAACACGCACATACAAAATCAAGTCTTTGTTATTTAAGATGTGCCCGGTGTTTGGTAAATTTGTGTAACTCATCTATTTGTATTTTATTTGTTGAGTGGATGGTTATGGCCCATTAATTCAAAGTAGTCAATTGTGTTGTTTAGATCTTTTCTATTCTTACTAATTTTTTGACTATTTGATCTATCAATTCTGATAGAAGTGTGTTGAAAAATCTGTACCATGACTGTCAGTTTGTCAATTTTCCTTGTAGTTCTGTCAAGTTTTGCTTTATATGTTTTAAAACTATGTTACTAGGTACACACAAATTAAGAATTATTATGTCTGTCTTTGTGCATTGCTCCTTTTATCGTAAGTAACTATCTTTATCCCTGTAGTGTTTTTTATCCTAAGGCTTTTTTTCTTTTTATCTAAATTGTCTAGAGTTGCTAGACATCTTAATTCTCCTCCCAAACAAGACAAAAACTTTAAAAATGCTTTAATGTTGACCACCACCACTCCCTATCTTATATATTAGTACCACCTTATTTACATACCCCCTCAGTTATCAAGTATTATTATTACTGTTTTGTGTGGTTAACAGTTGTCAATATTCATTTCTTTGTTCACTGTTCCTTTGTCTATCTCACTGCCTCCTCTCAGCTCAGTTTCCTTCTTCCTGAAGTCCCTAAATAGTAGTTACATATTTTAGTGAGCGTTTGTTAGTGGTAAATGCTCTCAGTTCATGTTTCTCCCTTTGCCCACCTTTGTTCTTAAGTCTGTTCATGTTTTTCGCAGAAAGGGATCATTTGTAGGGCTGGGTAATCTATATTATGTAGGTTCTGAGCAAAAGAGGAGATTACCCCTTGGCATGTTTATCCCATCTGTCTCTGCAGATTTCGAAGAATGCATTTAGTTTGATCTTTTTTAATGACATTGGAATGCAAATTTTAAACTTACTACATAGTATTAATTTCTAATATAGAATTAAATGACGTGAAAGTCATTTTGATGCTTTTGGTAGGAATTTTCTACTTCTTACTTCTAGAGGGATTCAGCCTCTTCTGACTCTAGTACCTTGTTCGAATTCCTTCACTCCAGTTGTGAGAGGCTTTGCTGTGAGGGTGGCTACTTGAGTGTAGTGTATAACCTTCTCCGCTAATCTCTTTTGAAATAAAAAATTAATACTGCCTGCAACATTGTATTACTGGAACATGTGCACATGTTTATCTAAAAATTTAGATTATCTAAAAGTTTAGTGAATGATTTTCTGTCTGGAATTGATTTGGAGTTGAGTTATCTTGGGATGCATATTTATATATATTTTAGATTTCCCACAAGTTACATAAATCTTTAAAATAGGACTTCAGAAGAAAATTAACAATGTAATAGGGAGAATGGGGAGACATGAAAGAGAACACAAGGTTGAAGAATATACTTAGAAATTAAACAGTGGAAATTGAGAACAATTTTGGTTAATAACAAGCATCGTTTAATTCACTAGCATCAAAGGAGTTAGATTCAAAAATCACTGGCTGACAAAAATCTGATGTGTCAAAATTATCCTTGAAAATCACTTAAAACTTCCCAACATTGGAAATGTTTGTTGTTTCTTTAGTTAAGCAAAACCCAAGTGTTATCTGGTATTTAAGTGCCATCCTGTATGA